CTGGAAAAGATCCTAAGAACCCTCTCAGCTATCGACCGATAGCCCTCACGAGCTGCCTTTGTAAGACACTAGAACGTATGGTCAATGCCCGTCTCGTTTACCAGTTAGAAAAGAACAAATGCATTCCTCTGTTTCAGAGTGGCTTCCGTAAAGGAAGGTCCACTCTCGATAACATCATTCAGCTGGAAAGCAAAATTAGAAACGCTTTTGTCCGGAGGAATCATTTAGTTTCTATCTTTTTCGATATCGAGAAGGCATATGATCGTACTTGGCGCTATGGGATACTTCGCACTTTATTTAATTTTGGATTCAGAGGCAATTTGCCTACTTTTATTAAAAAGTTTTTAAATCTTCGTACTTTTAGAGTGAGACTGGGTGGCACTCTCTCTGCTCCTTTACCCAAGCTGAGGGAGTTCCTCAGGGGAGTATTTTGAGTGTCACCCTTTTTATTTGTCATATTTCATCCATCTTAAACATTTTATCGCCCTCTATACAGGCTTCACTATACGTGGACGATCTACAGATCAGTTGTGAAGGTTCGGACATGCGCATGATTGAACGACAGTTGCAAACTGCCGTCAACAACATTTTAAAGTGGTGCGACACCAACGGTCATAGTATTTCGGCGAGCAAGAGTTGCTGCGTGCACTTTTGCCGCAAACGGGGTATTCATCCCGACCCCGAAATACGCATCCGTGATATACAAATTCCCGTAGTTCCCGACGTACGATTCCTCGGAGTAATTTTCGACCGTCGGCTCACTTTCCTTCCGCATATTTTACAATTGCGGAAGAGGTGTGAAAAGTCTCTAAACCTCTTGAAGGTGTTGTCAAACACCTCTTGGGGGGCGGATCGAACATCATTACTCCGAGTGTACCAGGCAATCGTACTCTCTCGCATCGACTACGGATGTGTTGTATACGGATCAGCGTGCAACTCTACTCTGAAAAACTTGACCCCGTCCACCATATGGCATTGAGAATCTGCTCGGGTGCGTTTCGCACATCACCGGTGCAGAGTCTCTATGTTAACTGTCATCAGCTTCCTCTAGATCTTCGACGGAGGAAGCTGTCTATTGCGTTTTATTTTAAGATCTTGTCCGTGCCTTCACATCCTCTGCAGAATGTGTATATGAGTACCAGCATGAAGAGACTTTATGATGCACGGCCGTCTAACATCCGGCCGTTTATGGATAGGATGAAGCTTCATATTTCTGAACTCGACCTACCTAACGTGCGTATCCAGCAAAGGAACTTTTTCCTATTCCAACCTTGGAATACGCCACGGTTCCATTATATCAACCCTTTTGCCACTTACAGTAAATCCACTGTAGCGCCTGTCGTCTTTCAACGCGTCTTCGCCTACCACCGCAGTCAGTATAGTCGTTATTCGGCCATCTACACTGATGGTTCGAAACGTGCAGATTACGTTGGCTGTGGAGTCGTGATTGAAGATATTATGCACGGTTATAGGCTCGACACTTCTTGCAGCATTTTCACTGCCGAAGCTGTCGCCATCTACCGTGCACTTCAATTAATCGACTCCCATATGCCCCGTAAATACTGCATCTATACTGACAGCATGAGTGTACTCGAAGCGCTTGAAAACTACCACGATCGCTGCCATCCAGTGGTATGTACAATACTCGACATTACGAGTCGAATGTACAGCAAGTGTTTCGATATCGTGTTTTGCTGGCTACCAAGTCACGTAGGAATTATAGGCAACGAGCAAGCGGACAGCGCGGCAAAGTCGGCGACGACGCATCTGCCGCTAGCGGTTCCGCTATCGGATATGAAGCGCGTCATCATGCATCATATTTTTAAGATCTGGCAGGAATCATGGAGTCAGCAGTTGGATAACAAACTGCACTCTGTGAAACCTGTCATAGGAGCATGGCCTGTGATGCCAATGCGAAGAACTGATGTCAAATTGACTCGTCTTCGAATTGGCCATACTCGCTTCACACACAGGCATTTGTTATTTGGAGAACGCGCTCCTGAATGTCCTTCATGCCATGTCTCTTACACTGTTCGTCACATTTTAATCGATTGTCCAGTATTTAATCTTCATCGCATCACCTTCTTTCATACATCTATTTTAACCTTATCTGACTTGGTGGGGGAATCTCCCCACCAAAATCTATTTGCTTTTATGAAGAAAATTGGTTTTTTATATTTAATTTGACTTTTTAAAATGTTTTAACTTTAACTTTATTTTTTACATATGTGCATGCAGGCATGCACATATATAATTCTTTTTATATAATTGTATTCATGTGTGTTTTTAACAGGGTTTTAATGTCTTAACAAACGTGTGGCGCAGTATAGCCAAGTTTGGCTCTTGCGCCATAAAACCCAACACTCACTCACTCACCACGCTCATAACATTTTTAGTCTTTGCTAGCAAAGAACTGATCGAGGTGGTTTCTGACCTCCTTATTTGAGGTGAAGGTTGTACCGTCTAAAAATTTTGGAGTGACCGAAACAAATAATAATCCGATGGTGCCAGGTATGGAGAATATGGTGGGTGTGGCATTGTATCCCATTCAAGCTGTAAAAGCTTTTGGCGAGTGACCAAAATTGTGTGAGGTCTTGCGTTGTCTTGGTGAAACACTACACCTTTCCTGTTGATTAGTTCTGACCTTTTCTGTTGAAGTGCATCATTCAGTTTGTCCAGCTGATGACAGTAGACTTCCGAATTAATCGTGGTGTTATCCGATAAAAGCTAAAAAAAACCGATTCTTTTAAAATTCCACCAAACAGACAGCATCACTTTTTTTTGGTGAATATTGGCTTTGGAAATGGTTTGAGCCGGTTCATCTTCTTTGCTCCTTGACCTCTTGCGTTCGACGATGTTGTATACAACCCATTTTTTGTTCTCAGTGATGATGCGCTTCAAAACGTGACGTTTGAGAAGCGATTCTCTCTGTGAGAACATGGGATAATCCCAGGTCTTTCAAGTGGTCATAAACTGTTGAATTTGATAAATTTAACCTCAATCCGATCTCACGTGTTGTTATTCGCCAGTTCGCATCAACTAATGCCTTTATCGTGTCCTTATCAGCTTCAACCGGACTTCCCGAACGTGGTGCATCTTCGACATCAAAATTGCCGGATTGAAATTTAGCGAACCAGTTCTGGCACTGGCGCAATGTCAACACACCTTCTCCATACACATCGGTCAATTTCTTTCAGCCTTGAACAGCATTTTTACCCTTTTTGTAGTAAAACAGTAAGATATGTCGAAAATACTGCTCATCGTTCTCCATATTTAAAAGGGCACCAACCAAAAACTACTGCGTAGAATTAATTGGAATTTTTCACACACAAGCCTTGCTATATGAGCTCTCAAAGAAAATAAAAATTATACGGCTTAAATGTGAAGTTGGGTGCAAAAAAAAAATCCAATTAAATCCTCTGTCGGGAAAAAACGAAATTATTTTCCGAACAACCCAATATATTTTAAGTTACTTTTAAGTAATAGGATAAAAAAGTATTATGTTACTTTCCCTTTCAAATTTTAAAATTGGAAAAGATTGCAATAAACATGCAACATGTATTTTCTTATGTCAGAATGTATTTTGTATTGCTTTCTTTCAGTAAATTAATAATTAAAAAAATTTTGGGGGGGATTTTTTTCGATATGCTAGGGCCCCTCACGTCTAGTTAGCACACTCACTTAGGGGCATGCCCCACAGTTTAAGAGTCACTATATTAAGGTATTCTTTTACTAGGAATCACGAATAAATCTGTCAAAAATTCAAGTTTAATCTTTGTAATGAAGGATCACAAGGAAGAGAATTAAGAGAAATATTTCTTTCAATATATTATTTAAAGTAGGTTAACATGCTATACCTACTTTATGGAAGGATAATTTTCAAAATTCTACATTCTTTAGTGAAAATTTTTTAACATAATATCAACGTACAGGGGTTGCCTTTCTCTAAAGGGCTGAAAATATAAACAATATTGAAATATATATAACTCTTTGAAATTAAAATTAAATAAAATAATTCGAATCTTTTACACATTATTTATAATGGAATGGGACTTCAGAAAAGTATAAAATGTTTAAAATATAATAATAATTTTAAAAATTATAAGCATATGAATATAATGATCATTTCTATAGGAAGTTTTACGTTGAGCGCATGCTATTTTCTAAAAGAGCAGCTTTAATTACTAGCTATAGAATGATTTATAAAGTTAAATGTATCCTTATAACACTGTAGTATTTTTATATTAGTAGAATGATAAATAATATTTTTAAAAAAGTAAAATTTATATTTTCGAATTTTTTTTAAATTTTAATATTTTTTAAATATTTTGAAATACAAAAGATATATTATTCTTAAATGATGTAGTGTTTAAAGAGTACGATAAATTTTACAATTCTATAAAGTTTTATGCATCACACTGGCCACTATTTTAGAAAATAGCGTGCGTAACGCTATTTTTATTACAAAACTATTTCTTATTTTCATATGCTTATAATTTTTAAAATTATGGTTATATTTCAAACTAAAGGCCCGCCGTGTAGGGCAGCGATGCACGCTAAATCTGTCGAGAGCTGAAACGTCCTCCCGTTGGTGTGATGTGGTAGTTAGGAGAGGGGGGGGGTGCCAGCTCAGGTGTCGTCCACGTCACTTGACTATGGTTCAAAATTACGTGGTCCGTCGACAAAAGCCTTCGTGTAGCTGAACAGTGCGACGTTAATATTCACTCACTCACCCTACTTAGGTCAGCAAAGAAACATTTTATTTTAGCTACTTTTTTAAATAGTTACAATTAATATATAAATATGTATATACATATGACAGAATCAAAATATTAAGAGACAAAATAAAAAGCGATTTACCTTGAGCTTTTCCATTTTCCTTTCTATGTATGGTGTCAGAATATTTTTCTTTGTTTGTTACTATTTATTCATTCATTAAATTAAATTATTCTAATAAAACACTGTAGTAAAAAAGAAATCATATTCTGAAATATTATGCCAATTTCAGTTGGGATTCGAACCCACGATCTTTGGATTAGAAATTCAATGCGCTATCCATCGTGCTACAGGGAAACAACGAACAATTTCCCTTTCTAAAAATGATGTTGCACTATTTTTGTTTGTTACTATTTATTCATTTTTTAATTTAATGAATGAATTAATATTTGAAAAAGCTGTATTAACCTCAAGTGTCATCCACTACAAGTTTAAAAAATGTACTTGAATGGCTAAATAGAAAGTATTTTAGTAAGGATAGAAAATTTGAACAAGATATATATATAAATAAATATATATAAATATAAATATATATATATATATATATAAATATATATATAAATATATATATATATATACTCATGGACAAAAAAATTAGCGCACCAAGAAATAATTGCGAGATCGTAACGATACTTGGCATGAAGGTACATGTTGGCGAGATATGCAAATGATTAGAAATGCAGCGTGATTGCGCACTGCGTATAGCTGGTAGAGGGCGTTTAAAGTCGTTCTCCGTGGAGTATAAAACAGGTAACCAAACCGTGTTTGAGTGCACTGAATCGTTTACAAAAGAAGGGCCGAGGTAGACATGCTATTGCGCCGCTTTCGAAGACAATATGAGCAGCTGTCCCAGTTTGAGAGCAATAGAATCACCGGCATGATTGAAGTTGGGTCGTCAACTAGGCAAGTAGCTCTTCAATTAGGCCGCTCTGATTGTGTTGTGAGGTGTTGAATCCGATAGCTGTCATTTGCAAGAAAATCAGGTTCACAGGACCGCCCTCGACAGACCAGTCGTCGAGAAAACCGCCACATCGTAAGAAATGCACGCGTACAGCCAACTGCTTCATCGGCCGCCATCCAGGCACAGGTAGCACCTTCATTAGGAGCCCATGTGTCTTCTCGAACCATACGAAAGCCCTTGGCTGAAGGACATTTGGGACTGCGGCGCCCATTACGTGTGCTGCCCTTGACGCCCACCCATCGACGCTTCCGTTTTGAGTGGTGCCGCGCACGAGGAAACTGGGCTGCAGTGAAATGGAACCAGGTCATCTTATATAAGCGACGAATCCAGATTCAATCTCAGCAGTCATGGCAATCGTGTTAGTGTGTGGAGACCCCGTGGTGAACGCTTCAATCCTGCCTTTGCTTTATAGCGACACTCCGCTCCTACAGCTGGTGTGATGGAATGGAGTGCCATTGCCTACAATACACGGTCAACCCTAGTATTGATCCATGGCACCATGACAGCCCAGTGGTAAGTCCATGACATCCTACAACCACATGTATTACCATTCATGCAACGGCTCCCAGGAGCCGTTTTTCAGCAAGACAATGCTCGCCTTCACACGAAAAAGGTATCACAAGACTGTTACTACCCTTCCCTGGCCTGCCCGATCCCCAGATTTGTCTCCAATCGAGCATATCTGGGATAATTTCGGACGGCGAGTTGAGCATCCCACGAGTGTGAACGAACCAGGGGCAAGGTTACAGCAAATATGGAATGAAATGTCTCAAGACATCATACAGAATATGTATGCCTCAATGCCCGATCGTATCACATCGTTGCATTCGCGCTGGAGGGGGTTCAACAGGGTATTAAATCCACCGTTTTGTTGCCTTTTTCTCTGAAATAAATTATCCCTTTTCTTTGATTTTCTAATCATTTACTCGTATCAAAGTAGTCATTACGTATGTAAAATTTCGTTTCATTTTGACGACTCTTTCTTGGTGCACTAATTTTTTTTGTCTAAGAGTGTATGTATAGGGAGAGTGTGAACCAATAATAAGAATCGAAAAAAAAGCTCTGGAATATCCTACTAATAAAATATTAAACGTTCACTGGGTATTTTAATAGGTTCCAAATTATTTTCTTCGAAAATAATCCCATTTTCGTAATGTGTAAGAAAGGAAGGGAAAAATATCCTTCCGACACCGGGAATCGAACCCGGGCCTCCTGGGTGAGAGCCAGGTATCCTAACCACTAGACCATGCCGGAGTCGAGAAGCCACTGTGTAAATGTATACTTAACTGAAAAGAATAAGAAGTTTACAGCGCGAAAGAAACATGTGCTTATTTCCAGACACGGAAGATAATTTGTTATTTACCTTTCTACTCTTTTTATAGTAGAACGCTCCTCTTTAAGAAAAATGCAATAGTATCCAAGCATATGTCCACTTTTAAATGAGTCCATCTTTAAAATGCGTTTTGCTTGGAAGGGAAAAGAGATAGGAATTTGGCTCACGTGTATAGTGGGCCGCGTTGCGTGGTTAGACATTCTTCACTACAACATGGTTGAATTAAATAACAATGAACATTTATTAACTTTAAAGATAAAAGATTAAATGAGCAATTAAGAGGTAAGCTTTCAAAAACTACAACACATGGTGAACCAGGCACGCTACAAGAATAACAGATCAATTCAGTTCAGTTTTGGAGTCGTTATGTTGAGCTGTAAGGTCGCTGCATACTCCCCTTCCAGTGTCAACGATACCTAGTTGGAAGATGAACTTTGCGACCAGAACGTGTAGATGGCTGGGTAGGCGTTGAAGCTATTGGATCATATTTCACTGTAGAAGGTGTTGAAGCTGTTGCATTAGGTTCCACAGTAGCAGGTGTTTCATTCTTGGTTTGAGGTAGTTGCAAGTCCTCAGTGTTAAGAAAGAAGGCAGGTTTGCATCTATCAATAGATACAGATACCCGTTTACCATTGATGTCAAGGAAAAACACTTTATCCTTCATAAACATTTAACTTCAAAGATAAAAGATTAAATGAGCAATTAAGAGGTAAGCTTCCAAAAACTACAACACATGGTGAACCAGGCACGCTACAAGAATAACAGATCAATTCAGTTCAGTTTTGGAGTCGTTATGTTGAGCTGTAAGGTCGCTGCAAGTGTAATAGTTCGTCTATTACGTCCTCGGTCGATTGAATTTGATTTAGAAGCAGAATTAACCTTGCGGGAGCTTTGTAAAGATTATTATCGTCTCATTGACAAAACCTATAAGGAAATTTCCTATCAGTCAGTGGTAAAAGATGTTTTCGGAGAACTTTATTCCATATTTAGATGAATAAATCTACTATTTAAATTAGATCAATATGTTACAGGTACTTAAAGTAAAAACAATTAAAAAAAGGCATTGCATTTATTATTTCAAATTTTCACTGCAATTTTAATTTAATTTACTCATAAAGAATTGGGAACAAAGTATGACCAACACATACATTGCATTTAGCTACTGAGATATGGGCTTTCACATTTTTTACACAGACTGTCGAAGTCTAGGGCTGTATAAATTATCTGTGGTCGCAATTCATAATTTGCGTTTAATATGTTTTCATATTTTGTTTTTGTATCCTCTCACGTTAATAAGTATTTTTTCACTTAAATACATTATTCTGAATGATATTAAAATGCTTATGGCTAAGCGAGAAATCCTGTGTATTTTACATGAACTTGCAACTTAAAATTTAAGAGGTGTTTTTGCTTAAATCTAGATTTATCGATAAGTTGTTCTCTCCTTTCATTGTAGGGATTTCCCCCCACACACACAAATGTAAAATGGTACATTTTCCATTAGAAAACTATTTGTGCAAAACATTGTACTAACGAGTATAAAATTACTTTCTGAAACCCACAGGATAGCGAATAATAGAATATTCATAATCTATAGAAAGAAAAAACGCGTTTTTATGTTATTTTATTATATTACACAATAAAAGTTTTATAAGTGTAAGAAAATAAATTTATGTTATATATAAATAAAATTTTCTGTTTTAATGATATTGAAATTAGCTTTAGATACTTGTGGGTACATCAACTTCATAGGGAACGTGAAGTAATTTTGTATATACATTTATAATTAAAGTTTATATTAAATTTTAAGCGATCCACATTGATTGTTACGACCCGCATGTGCAGAGGGCGCTAGTAGTCCTCTTTGTTTACATTTCGTCAGTATGCTTGTAATGCATCCTCGGAGCGGACGTACCTACCGTCCTCAATAAACAAACAATTTTTAAAGTATACAGTCCACGCCTTTTGCTTGAGCAGTCAAGTTATACATAACTCAAAGTCTGCTCATAATCCGTTCTAGACATTTCTAGAATAACCACACCATTTGTGGTTAAAATCAGAGCTATCGACCTCACCCAGTTTTGTGGTCGGTGTCGAGCCCGAGTCAAAAATCAAAATGGCTCCAAAGGAACTATCAGAACTCACCGTGTTTAACAGAAGGAAAGCACATCTGCTCGGTCAGATCACACGCATTAGAAACTCCTTGGAAAATGTGGAGTCACCATTGAATCAAGTTGAAAAGAGAGCTAAACTCGCATCGCTTTCTGAAGTGAAAGCAAAAATAGACAAACTTCGGACCGAAAGCTACGGTGTTCTCTCTCTTTCGGATGAAGAGCTCATGGATTTCGAGGCCAGTTTGGACACGATGGAAGTGGACACAGATAATTTAGAAGTGAGTCTCAATACCTTACTTGAATCTTCTAATGTGAATACCCCTGAATTATCTGTGAAAAATGATTTTGCTAATTACAATGTGAAACTGCCATCCATTAATTTACCGGAATTTTCGGGACAATATATTGATTGGTTGCAATTTAAATCCCAATTTGTATCATTAATTCATGATAACACTTCTTTATCAGATTCGCAAAAACTATATTATTTACAATCTGCCTTGAAAGGCCATGCAAAACAATTGCAAACAGTAAACGATTCTTACTCATCTTTATTTGAAGCTTTAGAAGGTAGATACGAAAATAAAAGATTAATTGTAAATAGTCATATTGCTGAACTTTTAAATCCTAACAAAATAAAATTTGAATCTGCTTTTCATCTCAGAAGTTTAATAGATTCAATTCAGAGTCATCTTAGAGCCTTAAAACAACTAGAATTAGAACCTAACGCTTTGTGTGAATCAATGTTAATTTTTTGTTATAACTCAACGTCTAGATGATGAATCGCGTAAACAATATGAAATGGAATTACATTCTAATGATTTGCCTAAGTGGAATAATTTTTTAGACTTTTAAATAAAAAGGAGCCAAGCCTTAGAAAACGTACAAAGA